TGATCCTCTGTAAGACAATTAGTAATAGTACAAACTAATATATATATATATATATATAGACAGTCAGACTCTGATAAAATGGTAAAAACACTGCATGCATGTATGTGGTTATTACATCTAATGTCTTGATCCGCATTTGTCAGAATTAGTTTTACCATTTACATCTTAAACATTTTTCATTTATGGTCAGTTATTAGTGTTAATAATTTGGACATACTGTTAGTTAATAAATCAACATAATCAAGCACATGTAAAAATGTCTGGTCACAGATAAAAAGTGTATGGTTTTGGATTAATTAATGACAATTAATACTACTTTGCTACTTGCACGGTAACTAAATGAAAAACAATCTTCAGAATTTGAAATGCATTTATTTTCATCAACTCTTCACATATACTGCAAAAATGAACTTTTCTTGTACAAATGAAAATAAGTCATGACATCAGAAACACAGGCAAATAAAAAATTAGTTATAAAAAGCACACTGTTAACTGCATAAGTGATAATTTTAACTATAAATACAAAAATAATAAATATCATATTAACATTAAATTCATGACTTAATCAGACCCAGATTAGTGATAAATCTGGAATATATAACATCCAGAAAAGTTTACATTTACTAAAAATATATTAGAATGATAGCTATGGATTAGAGCTTTCATTATGTGAAAACAAAATATCAATAACGTTTTTCACTTGGTGGGGTATTAAATATTTAGCTCTTCCTTTGACAAATATTCTTCATTTTAGGGTCAAAAGTTTATTACTTTCTCTGTGCTATTTACTGTTTTAAAGTGTAGAACAAGAAAGCAGAACATTATGTCATAAGATGATATTTTGTCTATTATCACTTACAAATGTGAATTGAAAAGGTTTTTCATGTGCAATAAATGCAAGCCAAGTGTCTTGTCAGGTTTATACTGAAAATAGCAATCTACCACAATCAAAACAGGCCAACTTTGCTAACCACTTTAGAAGTTGTGTCAAAATCAGTTTCAGTATTTGTACTGGTTTTGGACTGTCTTTTAGACTCAAGTCTAAATTATAAAACAATGAAAAATTATTACTACCAGATCTGATAATGTGAAAACTTTTCACCACATTTTATAGAATTTAGCCTAATTCAGGATTAAAAATGAACGAAAACAGCATATCAAGAAGTTTTAGCCTCATTAAGTCACTAATTCAGGATTAACAATAAGCTAAAATAGCATATCAAGAAGTTTTAGCCTCATTATGTCACTAATTCAGGATTAGCAATATGCTAAAACAATATACTGAAGGATTTTGGCTAGGTTAAATAACTAATGCAGGATTAGCAATATGCTTAAACAGTACACTGAGGAATATGGCCTGGTTAAATTGCTAATTCAAGATTAACAATATTCTAAAACAGTATACTGAGGGATTTTGGCCTGGTTAAGTCACTAATTCAGGTCTAGCAATATGGTATAACAGTATGTTAAGGTTAAAAAGGCAATCACAACATAAAATGACATAAAAAAATACTACCTTCATTCTTGATTGGTCTTAGTCTTAGTACTAGCATACCAGTATTTTGTAAAATACAATGAAATTTCAGTTACCATACATTACATATGAATATATATTATTATTATTTACAAATAAATTCTTAAATTTCAGTTATTTTCCTTGAAACATAGAAAATAAAATATACATATATATAGAAAACAATGATGTTATAATGGTTTTACCCCCCAAAAGATTTTTGTAAGACTGAGAGGATTACATATTTCAAAATGAGAACTTTCAATTGGTTATAAACATGTACTTAAGAGTAGTGGGCATACATAAACAAGTATTTTCAAAAGAGGAAGAAGTGGGCAGACCCACTGTTGTGAGTTTACTAGATATAACGATATCTCACCGAATAGAGAAGGTAGAAGGTTCTTATATTATATTCTAGCTTGTTATTATTGGTAATTTGAGTTTCTAATTCATTACAAACTGTAGACTTTACATTTTATGATGCCCACAATACAATATGAGCAAATGCAGAAAATGATGTACCATGTAACACACAAAATGTTGATATTCAGCTTTTTTTTTTTAATATTTACTTTTGAACTAAGAAATTAAATAATGTATAACACTAAAATTTTAATTACAAAGTACAATTTTATGGACATATGTTCATGAAATAGTAATTTAATAAAATTTTGAATGTAAGGCTACAAAATATGATGACATGAGCTCTGACCTCTACTCATATTGAAGGGTTTTATTAGAGCCAGAAAAATGCTTTAATAAACCCTTTAACTCTTTCGACACGTGCTCTCTCCCTGGGACCGAGCCACGTGATCTTCTGTAGTCGTTTAAAGTTGACATAAATTGATACTTATAACTCTCTATATATTGGGTGTCTCTTCACGAAATTTGGTAGTCTTTTTGTTAATATTACAAGTCTTTCACATACTAAAAGTCATATTTCTTAGTAAAGTACTTTTAACAAAATAAAGTTTTGTCCATGAATATTCTGAGTATTTGTTTTGAATAGTCTATGTGCAAAGTAATTTTCATGTTAAAATTATAAATACTTTTTGCCATCTCAAAAAATCTAAAATTTCCTTTGTGTAATCCCTAAAACCTCCTAAATGCATTTCAAACGTTTTTTTTTCACTAATTCCTTATAGTTTATATGTTATTTTCTCTACCCTAATCTCAAAACGGGATCGGTCAATTTGACCGAACTCGTAACCACCAAAAAAAAATCGAAATAAACCTAAATTAACCTTATTTTCTTTCTAGTATGACTTCAAATTGTAACATGAAACTACATTCATTTATCCTAAGTAGCTCTAAGTTCGTAACATTTTACATCTATTTATAATTAAATTTTATTGTTTTATTGCCCTTTGAACCATGTCTAACTGCTATCTATGCCATTATAAGTAGTAAATCACTTGGGAAACATGCAGCTCACGTTACGCTATCGAATTACATCACCCACGAGCTGCTCCCATGCGTGCTACATGAACATTTTAATTATATTATTATTATTACTTATTTTACCTATTCTAGTCTTAAATAACTTGAAAAGATTTGTACTTTTAATTTTAGTTACTTTTATAATAATAAATATGAAAAACAAGAAATAAAGTACTTAACCCAATCTTCTTTTTTTCTTGCCCTCGATTGTCGATAAGAGTTAAGCTTGATTTTTTTTAGTGATTATAGTAAAGCACTTAACAATTTTTATTTAATTAAATAATACACCAAAGAATATAGACTAATAACATGCAAAAAATAGACAAATTCACTTACTTCTAAAAATTTTTCCTGGCTTTCTAACTATGCGACAAGAGCCGTTAGAAATTAATTTAAGCCAGTCATTAACTTTCCCACGGGAAGGATGTTGCTACTCAGAGTGACATTGACGGTTATCTGTTCAAAACACAATGTTATACAATATGCCATTTGATAGATGAAAACCTTTACTTTCTATTGGTTATAAATAATATATAATGAAACGTAAAAGAGAACTATCAACCAATTGTGAAAGAGAGGAAGTGACAGGTGGGTGTGGCAGGAGGGGGTCTGATTTTCTCTTTGATAGCTCTGTATCAAAACAAAATTGAAGGCCATAAACATTATGGTCTGTTTGAGCAATAATGATTTTATAGAGAGCATTTTACGTTTAATTTCGTACATTTTTGAGGGGAGATGGATAAAATAGGGATGATGACATGCTACAAACAAAATTTGTCATGTGTGTTACATTAGTGGAAATTCAGGATTTTTTTATATATATTTCCTTTTAAAATTAAGAACTTAAAACTTGTATACTATTAAAATATGGATTATTAGGTAAGATTTTATGCTATTCTAATTGGTATAACATAAACAAAAAGTAGTTTTATAAAATTTTGAATGTAAAACACTAAAACCTTGTGTCAGTAGGGTTAAGATGGAAAATAGGCTGCTAGCTAAAGCAGAGGTAATAAGAAATGAAAGAGATCAAATATTTTTTCACAAAAGTAATATCCGTAGAATATCATATTATCCATCAAACAAACAAGAGTGAAGATGGCTTATTTAACAAACTGATCAGAGATTTGCTTCAGATTACAACATTTAATACTTTATCTTTCATGTTTTTACTTTGATATACTACTATATTATTGTACAGTACAGATATTTTGGGATTTTGTGTTATAAATGTTGTGATACCATATTTTTGAGAACTGTGCCCATAATGTATTTAATATTTGTCTGAGTTTTTTTCAATATTAAAAGCCATCTTTGCTTTTTGAGCTGTATAAAACAAATCATTTGAAAACAAGTGACAAAATCTGAAAGGACAGCAAAAATAAAATCTTTCAAGGTCTGAAGTTAGTTGTTCATTTATTTAATTAATTTATGAAATAAAAGTAGCTTTATATTTGTATTATAATCAAAAATGGATAGTATACACCTGTATTCAAATGAAAGCTCACCTTTTATAGCTGATTCCATTCTCTTGAATTCAATAAATATACGAACTGCTTCCTCATCTGGAACGTTACCACCAGGGATTTCAAAGATCAAGCATCTTATAACATCACCATATTTTCCACATTCTTCTTTAGTTTCTGGCTCCAAGTCTTCATCAACTTCACCTGGACCAACCATGTTCTAGAAAAATAAAAATGTTAAGGTTTGCACAATATTAACAAAAATAACATAAAAAGGACATTTTTTAAGGGAGACTTTGGAATGCTCCAAACCTACTTTGTGCCAATAGTAAAGATGATGGTTATTGGACCAAACTGATGGCACAATTGTGGCCTTGAGAAGAACAAATAAATCTTTAATTGAAAAATGTGAAAAAATGTTATAGGATTCCTGATAAACAGTGTGGAAAATTCAAATCTTACAACTATTGGAAAAGCTTCTAATTCTAGTTTTTTCTCTATATTGGTCTTACTTCCAAAAACGTCTTCATGATGCACATGAATGGATTAATGAGACTCCACTGTCCCTATCTATTATGTTGCAAAACCACAGCCAAGTGAATGAGCTTAGAGAAACCAAAACACTAAAATATGCAAACATTTCTATTTCAAATTTAGAGAAAAAAATATTTATATAACTGTAAGAAAAGGAATAAAAGGCAATTACCACTAACTAAAAGAAAATTTTGGTTATGTGAAGTGATAAAAATATCATACTAACTTCAATTTATTTATTTCAGTTACTATTTCAAACACATATAGTATCTGAATTCTGGGTTAAAGGAAATGTACATATATGAGTGAGGAAAAATGTAGCTTGTTACTAGCTTCTTGCAAACTAGGTTTTGTTCACAAGAGGAATTTGTTCCTCCTATTAATTTTTATAGTAGTTTCTTTGTTGAGATGATGTATGCTGTTGCTAATAAAATAATTATTTTATCATGCTGGATAAATATATGAAACAAGAAATACTTCAGGTAATATTTTTGATAAGAATGGGTGACCTCACTTGGCAAGAATCTCTTTTGTCCCTGGTCACTCACTCACTCTGTAATAGGGTAACTATTCATGTTAATATTTTCAAAGAGAAATAGGGTCTTTTTAAGTTACCTTTGTAAATTCACATTTTCACTAAAACAAGGGGAGTGATAGACATTTTCTGAAGTACCTCCTCAATACTGAAAAAAGGGGATTAATTTTGCACTAAAAAGCTTTGGTAAAACTTATTTTCAAAGGGTTTTTCTTTGCCAAAGATTAAGTAGCATGAGAACTGTCATGGATGTTTCATATCTAATTGTGTGCACAGTGGCACTATAGTTTCCAATGAATGGGTCTGTTGGGATGCCAACAACTCTTGGTAAAGTTCTCCATTTACAGATCAAATAAAAACGATGCTAGATATCAAAGGCAACAAGCATGTTAAGTGCATAAAAATGTGAATGCCATATTTCTAATGGAACCAGGCTCCATAAAGTGTATGTATTGTGACTGCCCTCATGTGGTTCACAAGATTATGGAAATAGTGGCTACTTATGGAAAAGGTAAGTACTTCAGCTTTCACTATGATAGGACTGGTTCTAGGATGGTCATCAATCTCATTTGTGTTAAAATTTTAAGGAGGTTAAAATAATAAAGTTCATTGTGTTTATTATTCAAAATCTAATTAAACAATAGTTTCCATACTTCAGAACAACATTTACATTATGTATCATATAAGCTTAGATTGCAAATTTCTATCCAGAAATTTGTTGATTTTCGTCTTGTAAATCAGCTTAATGGTTAAGAATTTAATTCAACAAGGCTTAGTTGCTTTAACCGCAACAGCCATTTCAATCCAGTCAAGTACATGGCTTGACATCTTTACTTTTTGTTATTTTTCCTCACAAAAAGTGACAAATTATGTGAAGTTATGTACTTACTCTGAGTAGCACAACTTTGGATGGATTCTTCATCATTTCTGTAATTGACTCTGGTGCTGAAGAACTTGACCCTGTGGAAGGTGATGAAACCTGTGGTTCTGTAATATTACAGAACTCAATTAAAATATTTGAAGCCCTAATAATTTTATCACTAGATTGGCTTTTTGTACCATTTCATTTCATAAGGAACATGCCATTACTTATTCGATGACGAGGAACCCACTTTGAGACTAATAATGGCTGGAGACGGCTTAAATGGGTAATG